AAGGAAGGAAGGAAGGAAGGAAGGAAGGAAGGAAGGAAGGAAGGAAGCTATAGTGGCACAGTAGTTAAAATATAGTATTGCAGGCTGACTCTGTCCATAACCAGCAGTTTGATCATGACTGGCTCAAGGTTGACACAGCCTTCCATCCTTCTGAGGTGGGTAAAATGAGGACCCAGATTGTTGGGGGCAACAGGCTGACTTTGTAAACCGCTTAGAGAGGGCTGTAAAAGCACTGTGAAGCGGTATATAAGTCTAAGTGCTATTGCTATTCTCTCTCAAGCAAGACTTGCCCCACTCTGATCCTGAGTTGTTCACAATTTATGTGTGTTGAGTTATGCCGTTCCCTTTCTTGATCTTATCTATTTCCCTCAGTTTGTTTTCTATAGGCTTATGACCGGAGTTGGTGGAGGAGTTAAATTGCAAGCGGCGTATCTACTATGAAAGGACAAACAACCCGACTCTGTGTAAACCGCTTAGTGAGGCCCTAATAGCACTGTGCGGTCAGGGGCAGGCTTCAAAAATTGTAGTAAGTGGGTGTGGCCAAGGCAGCCTCCTGCACCACAGCGGGGGATGGGGGGGGCGTGTTTTTGCTGGTTGGGGAATTCTGGGAGTTAAAGTCCAGAAGTCTCAAAGTTGCCAAGTTTGGAGAGCCCTGCCTATATAAACAGATGACTTAGCCCAAATGATCCAACCTTCCTTATGGCTTTCTACAACAGAGGTCCCCAATCCATGAACTGGGGACCCAGCACCAGGCCGCAGCATGTCAGGAAACAAGCAAAAACCCCATCCATGGGATGTAGGCAGCACACGAAACCACGCCCCCCCCCCCCCGGTCTGCAGAAAACTTCTCTCCACTGAGTCCCTGTTGCCCAAAAGTTTGGGGTGGGGGAGGGGGGGCTGCTGTTCTAGAAAATGATGTGAACAAAGCCATTCCATGACAGCGGCACTAACTTGCCTTCTGCTGGATCCAACCCCAAGAGCCATTCCAGAAAGGGATATAAATAGAATAGGAATAGAGGATAGGATAGGATAGGATAGGATAGGATAGGATAGGATAGGATAGGAATCCCCACCCACCCCTGCCTCCCCTTTACCTGCACTCCACCTCACAGCTTATTTTTGGCTAGTCTGGGGCCTTTTTCGGCCTTCCAGAGCCTCGAGGAAGGCTTCTGCAGTCCGAAAACTAGGCCCGTTTCATCACTTCCGGTATTTCCGGAAAAACATGAAGTGATGAAACGGGCCTAGTTTTTGGCCTGAAAAGCCTGCAGAAGCCTTCCTCAAGCCTCTGGGAGGCCGAAAAAGGCCTCAAACCGGCCGAAAATCAGCTGTGAGGTGCACGCATGCGCAGTGAAGTAAGTTTGCCTGCAGCTCACACGCCATAGGTTCGCCATCATTGCCCTACACCTCTTCAGATAAATGGTTATTCAACATCTTCTTAAAAACCTCCAGGGTTGGAGCATTCACAACTTCTGGAGGCAAGTTGTTCCACTGGTTAATTGTTCTCACTGTCAGGAAATTTCTCCTTAGTTCTAAGTTGGGCCTTACTAAAGGGCTAAACATGGGCCTTCTCCAGGAAAATAAGATGAATCTCTGGCCCAGTTCCCTTCCTTCCCTACTCGCTGCCGTGCGAGCCCGAGACCCCCAGAGAAAGCAGGAGGCCTCAAAAGAACTCTGCAGGTGGATGCAAATGGCTCATCACCCAAAAACCCCTTTGCTTAACCAGAAGTCCTTCCAAATGGCTCCAGCAGGCTCCAAGAAAGGGCTGGCTGGGACCCCCAAAGAGAAATCCCACCCAGCAAAGGGGAGGGTTTTGTACAATAAACCTGCCAATTCCTTAGCGCTGAAAGCCACTTCTTGACTTCCCAGGAGAAAGAGAAGATGAATCCACACCAGGATTTAATAACCGACACTACTCAAGGTAGCCAGTTTGGCCTACTTGCAGGACTCTCTAAACTTGGCAACTTTAAGACTTGGGAGAGTTCCACTCCCAGAATTCCCCAGCCACCAATATTATTTACTCCAGTTTCTCCTGCAAAAAGCATCCAAGCTTCCTTCCTAAAGGGCAACAGGGAAGAAAAAAACTTGGTTTGTTTTCTTCCGAAGGTAGACAGACTACTGGCTCGGGAATTCTAGGAGTCCACAAATTTTAAAATTCAAAATTTAAGTTTTAATGACCTCTGGTCTAGTGGTTAAAGGCATCGGGCTAGAAAAGCAGGAGACCCTGAGTTCAAATCCTGCCTTTAGCCATGAAAGTCAGCTGGATGATTTTGTCCAGTCCCCCTCTCCCTCTCTCTCCCTCTCTCTCTCCCCAACCCACCTCACAGGGTTGTTGCTGTTGTGGGACAAAAGGAGGAGGAGGAAAGTGTGTTGGATATGTTCACCGCCTTGAGTTATTTGTAAAAATAATAAAGGTGGGATCCCTATTAGGTAAATAAATAAATCATTGTTTATTTGAAAACATTTGTTTTCAACCTTTCAGACGTTGGCTTTGAAAACAAAAGATCTTTGTTTTCACACTGAAATTTGCTCTTTCCAAAAAGTTAGAACTTTCCCAACTTCTGCAGGCTAAAACGAAGGAGAAATTTCCTGACAGTTAGAACAATTAATCAGTGGAACGACTTTCTCTCCAGGAGTTGTGAATGCTCCAACACGGGAAGTTTTAAAGAAGAGATTGGATAACCATTTGTCTGAAGTGGTGTAGGGCTTCCTGCCTAGGCAGGGGGTTGGACTAGAAGACCTCCAAGGTCCCTTCCAACTCACTCTACCCATTTCCACTCACACATGGCCAATAAAGCTACTCTATCTCTACCCTACCTCTACTTCCACCCTAAATCTACCTCTACTCTACTCAACTCTACCTCTACTCTACTTCTACTCTACCTCTACACGACTCTACCTCTACTTATCTCTACTCAATTCTACGTCTACACTACTCTACCTGTACTCTACCTCTACCTCTACTCTACCTCTACTCTATCTCTACCACTACTCTACCTCTACTCAACTCTACCTCTACACTACTCTATCTGTACTCTATCTCTACCTCTACACTACTCTACCTCTACTCTATCTCTACCACTACTCTACCTCTACCTCTACACTACTCTACCTGTACTCTACATCCAGCTCTACTCTACCTCTACACTACCTCGACTCGACTCTACCTCGACTCTATCTCTATTGTAGCCTCTGCGGAAGTCCTGGGCCTCCCGGGGAAACCTGGAACTCCCAACCCAATCAACCTCGGGATTTCTACGGCGGGGTGAGCGCGGGGGGGGGGGGGGGGGGGGGGGGGGGGGCAAGGGGGGGGTGTCTCCAAACCCGAAGGGGAAACGGCCCTACCAAGTGTCCCAGAAGCCCTCCGTACTTGAACTCCCAGACGGGAGCCTGCAAGCGGTACACGGCCAGGGCGTCCGTCTCCCGCATCTCCGGAAGGGCAGAGCCGCTGGGGCAGAAGGTGTAGCGAGCCTGGCAAAAGGGATCCGGCCGGGGACGGCGATCGAAGCGCCTGCGGGACGAGAGAGAGGGGGGGGGGAGAGGGCGTCACCGGAGGGCGCAATCTCACCACCCGCCCGGCCCGCCGAAGGGCTTTTCCCCGCTCGGCCTCCCACCAAACCGAGCCCTGCGTTGCTTCCGCCCCCGAGACTCGCCTGTAGGGAACCGGCCAGCGGCCCTGGCCCTCGCACCCCTGCGCCCTGCCGCCGCCCGCCGCCGCCGCCAGCAGCAGCAGCAGCAGCGGCGGCGGCAACAACCGAGGCACCGTCCGCTGCCCCATCCCGGGCGCGCAGGAGACAGAAAAGCGGCGCGGGTCCCGTAGCAGCTCCACGGTGTGCGCGCTCCCGCCGTCAGCTGAGCCCGGCCCCGGGAAGGCACGTGACGCGGGAGTGGGCGGGGACGAGCCTCGCTGTCCCGGAGATCCGCGGGCGGGGGCGGGAGGATTTCTTGGCAGGCTCCCCCAGCGGGTACCAGAGGGTAAAGAATGCAATGCAATGGAACGGAGTAGGAGTAGAATAGCTTTACTGTGTGTGATTGGAAATGCGTAGAGTAGAGTAGCGTAGCGTAGCGTAGCTTTATTGGCCTGTGCGTAATTGGAAATGCGTAGAGTGGAGTAGCTTTATTGGCTGTGTGTGATTGGAAATGTGTAGAGTAGGAGTAGAGTAGCTTTATTGGCTGTGTGTGATTGGAAATGTGTAGAGTAGGAGTAGAGTAGGAGTAGAGTAGCTTTATTGGCCGTGTGTGATTGGAAATGAGTAGAGTAGAGTAGCTTTATTGGCCGTGTGTGATTGGAAATGAGTAGAGTAGAGTAGAGTGGAGTAGCTTTATTGGCTGTGTGATTGGAAATGAGTAGAGTAGAGTAGCTTTATTGGCCGTGTGTGATTGGAAATGAGTAGAGTAGAGTAGAGTGGAGTAGCTTTATTGGCTGTGTGTGATTGGAAATGAGTAGAGTAGAGTAGAGTGGAGTAGCTTTATTGGCTGTGTGTAGTTTGGAAATGCGTAGAGTAGAGTAGCTTTATTGGCTGTGTGTAATAGGAAATGCGTAAAGTAGGAGTAGAGTTAGGAGTAGCTTTATTGGCTGTGTGTGATTGGAACTGAGTAGAGTAGGAGTAGAGTAGAGTAGCTTTATTGGCTGTGTGTAGTTTGGAAATGCGTAGAGTAGGAGTAGAGTAGCTTTATTGGCTGTGTGTGATTGGAAATGCGTAGAGTAGGAGTAGAGTAGCTTTATTGGCTGTGTGTGATTGGAAAT